ATTTTCCTTCCATCCCCCAGATACTCCCCTTCTGTCCCACAGTTGCCACTCCTTGTTCAACCTACTTCATAAACACCTGGCCCTCACCGCCTCTCACCGTCATTGTCCTGTGAGGACTCCCACGTACACATAACATTTTATTAAATAAAATGTGTCTGCTTTTCTCCTGCTGCTCTGTCCTGTGTCAGTCCAGCGAAGGCTAAGGGGATAAAGGAGAAGTCTTACCTCCCACCTCAGTCACTAGGAAAACGCAAATCAAAACCACAGTGAGAAAAAAAACAAAACAAAACAAAACAAAACACCCACAGTGAGATGCCACTTCAAACAACAAAATAATCCCCAAACAGAAAATAGCGAGTGTTAGTGAGGGTGTGGAGAGGTGGGAACCCTCCCACTGCGCAAGTAGGGATGCAAATGGTGACGCTGCTGTGGACACCATGCTGGTGGCTTCTCAGAAAGTGACACCCGGGACCCAGAGTTCCACTCCTAGGGAGAAACCCCAGAGAACCTAGAGCAGACGTTCAGACGAACGCTTCCTGGAGAACACGCTTCGGCGTGGTCCCGGTGAGCTGTGTCGCAGCAGATGAGACCTGGAGGGTTGCCAGGCCGGACGGTGGGGTAACCAGACCTCCCGGTCCCTTCTCGGCAAGTCGGAACCTGGGGCACAAAATGACAATTCAACACGTCAAGATGCTTTGCTGTTGCTGCCGAGATTGCCACAGTCATAACTCATTTGTTCTGGAAAACAAATGGAAGCCACAGGCACACAGGCCCTGTGCCACCCGCACAGAGACCCCTCGGTGGAGGGCGAGCCCTCAGGCCGAGGAGCGCCACACTCCTTCTCCACATGGAAGCCAGGCCTGGGGCTCGGCGCCACGGGCTCCTGGGCTCCTTCGAGCCCAGGCATGGAGGCTCCGGGCCGAGTGGATGGGTCAGCTGCTGCCACCACCCTCCATCTCCAAGTCCGCTCTGAGGGCCGGACACCCCCAGCTGCTGTGCCCGAGTCCCGGCCGCGCTGACGCGGAAGCCCTGGGGCTCCAGGGGTCCCACAGCTCTGCTCGGGGCGGGAAGGTGGAGGGGCGCCCAGGGCCAGGGCAGCCGGGCCCTCGGTGTGTGAGCCCCGACTTTGCCCTCCGCACCACCGAGAGCCCGTCCTTCCAGCAGCTGGACAAGTAGGGGTGCAGAGGCAGCAGTGGGACCCCACGGCAGCGTGGTGGAAGAGGTCAGAGATCCCCCCGAATGCAGACACTCACCGCAGTCAAGATGTCTCATCTCCCAGATTGATCTCCGGGTTTAACACATTCCTACAGAAATCCCAGAAAGTTTTATTTTATAGACACTGACAAAACTATTCTAAAGTTTATATGGAAATGCAAAGGAACTAGGACAGCCAGAACAACTTGAAAAGGGACAAAATGGAAGAATGAAGTCAGGACACTCCATCGCAAGACGGGTACGGGTGGAGGCAAAGACCCAGGACCAACAAGAAGAGCAGGGGACCCGGAAGTAGACCACACTCACTCACCACCCGGAAGTAGACCACACTCACTCACCACCCGGAAGTAGACCACACTCACGTGGCTGACCTTTGACAAAGGTGAAAAGTCGATTTAACATAGAAGGATGGTCTTTGCAGAGCAACTAGACAGCCACAGGCCACGAAACAAGGACAAAACAAAGGAACAAAAATACCACGACCTAAGCTTCACCCCTCATACAAAAGTGGACACAAACTGATCACAGCCTAGATTTAAAAGTAAGATGTAGAACTACATAACTACCAGAAGGAAGCACAGGAGAAAATCTTCAGGACGCAGACGCGACACTAAAAGCACAATCCGTAAAATAAAACACGTGCTAAATCGGACTTCAGCAAAATGAAAACTGTTTTCTCTACTAAAGATCCTGTTCGGATGAAAAGACAAGCAAGCTACAGACTAGGAGGACATACCTGCAAACCGCACATCTGACAAAGGGGCTCTCAAACTCGACGGTAAAAAACACAAGCTACCCAAATAGAAAATGGGCAAAAGCCATGAACAGACATTCACCAAAGAGAATACACAGGTGGCAAATAAGCACATGAAACATTGTTCGGTATCACTAGCCCCAAGGGAGACGCAAAGGAAAACCTGAAGGACGCCACTGCCCACCTGCTAGAAGACAGCAGACCGGAAGGGACGCAGGGCTCACACGGCTGGTGGGAATGTGCGTGCGCTGCTAAGACAGCTTGACGGGTTCTTAAAAAGCTAGACACAAGCCCGACCAGTATCTCAAAAGGTCACGGCTGTATGACTCCATTCAGGCCACACTCTCGAGATGACAAAGCTCCCAAGATGGAGAGCGGATGGGTGGCTGCCGCGGGCAGGGTGACGGAAGGACAGGACCCTACACGCACACCACGCTGACCCCGGCTTCCTAGGGAGTGCTGTCTTACGGTCACGTAAGATGTCACCACCGGGGCAAAATGGGTGAAGTGTGCCCGGGGCCTTCCGGCCCTATCTGCACCCTCCTGTGAACCTATACATATTTCAGAACATATACGTATGTTCTAATGCCACATCTGTCAACACTCCCTCAAGCCAGCCGTCCCAGCCCGGCTCCCTGGAGCTCAAAGCTTCCCTGTGCACCCCGAGCCCCGAGGCGAGGGGCGGTGGCCAGCGGCATTGAGGAAGTAAGAGGGTTCTGGGCAGAGCAGGTGCTGGGCTGCAGCCTGTGGCCGAGTGGGGGAGAGAGGGAGCAAGCAGCGCTGCCCTGCGCCCCGGCGCACCTGAGCTCCCCCCAGCCCCGGCATCCAACTCCTTCTCAGCTCTGCCTCGTGGAGGCGGCCACCTCCCTCATCCCCCAGATGCACCTATTCCCACCTGCCCCCCATCCCGCAGGGCCGCCCTCCCGCGCACGCAGCCTGCCAGCCCAGCCCCCTCTCCGGTCTCCCACCTGCCGCCCTCACCCCACACCCCTCACCCGATGCCCCTGGCCTCTCTCCACCCTGGCCTCACCCCTCACATTTGCTCATCAGAGACCTGCGTCAGACCGGCACCTGCTGCTGTAACGCCAAGGTCCAAACCCAAGTTTTGCCACAAACTGGCTGGGAGGCCTTGGGCCAGAAACGGTCTTTGTTGGAATCCCTGGGTCCGGGCCCTCTGCTTGGTTTGCTGCCCCTCAGAACAGCGCCCGGCTCGACGCTGGCTTTGAGTGTTGGCGGGTCTGCAGTTCAGACCCAGTTGGGACCCAATCAGCTGGAGGCTGTGAGCATGCATGTCGGGGGGAGTGACCGCGACCCCTGGTGTCCCCATCACCAGGAACACTTCCGTCCCCTTCCAACGTGGTTTATTCAAAACTCCTATACATGGTGAAGCACCTCTACCCCGCTTCTAGGCCCCCCTCCCAGGGTGGGGTGCACAGGGGTGCCAGGCCTTCGTACCGTGAAAACGTCCCCGGTGCAAAAGCTTCCAGGAAGCCCCGCATCTTAAGGAAGAAGCTCTCCAGCTCTCGGACCTGGGCCTCCTTCCCACCCCAACGCTCGGCCTGTTCTTGTAATGCCTCCCCCTCCCCTTCCAGGCGGGGGAACCTGTCCTTGACCTGGAGGAGCTCTGCCAAGGACCCCTCTGTGCTCAGGGCCCGCGGCTCCCCCTGGGACGTGCTCGCAGGCTCCCTCATCTCCAGCCACGTCCCGGGACGTCTGTTCTCTGGCGAGTTCTTTAAATGGTGTCCTTCCGTGACAAGTGGAATAGATTTTTCCTCCTTTGGTTTTCTTCAGACATTCTGAGCAATTCCTTCAGTTCAGACACTTTCTTGGATAGATTTTTATTAATTTCCCTCTTTCTGTGAAAAACTGTCTTCATAAATTTAAGCTTTCTGTCAAATTCCTCCAGTTTATCCACGAGTTTCCGGCCTGTGGACAGCTCTCCTGTCCGTGTCCTGTTCTAAGCCCTCCCCAGAAGACGAAGACTCCTCAGGTGATATACCACCAGAAGACCAAAGGTCTCCAGGCCAGAGGCCCATCAGCACCTCGGCACGGTGACCCTCCCCGGGGACCACGCCACGCACGGCTCCAAGCACCGGCCATGAGGCGCTGCCGTTTCTGAGTCGGAGCCCCGGCCATGGAAGGCCGGGTCCCGCCTGCGCTGGTGGCCTTGGATTTCTCCTGTCTGGGTCAGGAGGCCCCACTTCTTTGGGTCCAGGTTGCTCTCCCTGTCCTGCTTTCCGCCAGTCTCACAGAGCGATTGAACTGCTGTTGGGCGGGAGGGGCTGCCGGGGCTGGTCCTTCCCTTTCTGGTGGCTGGGGCCCAGAGTCAGGGAGCGGGTCAGGGCCATGGTCGCCCGGCAGCAATGGGAGGTGTCCAAGGTGGCTTGGGAGGGCCATGCGGTGGTGGGGTGCACGGTGAGTGGGACGAGGCATTTCTCTTCTACCAGGTAGTAGCCCCTTCCAGCCAGAGGTGCCGAGGGCCACAGGCACAAGAGGACTCGGGAAACATCAAGGGAAAGCTCAGGGCTGGATTCCCCATGCCCACGTGGGTGGGGTCCTGTAGGAGGGGGAGTGGGGCTGGATTCCCCA